TGGGTGACGGTCGTGCAATGTTGTGAACTGACAGAAGTTGGGAATACGGACCATTTGGTTCGGACCCATCTGTTCAGTGGTAACGTGTTAGTCATGCAACCTAAAGGTTCTGGGTTCGATCTCTGGTGCGATCATAGGTGCACACAGTTGAAGAATCCTACACTGGGAAGAAACAACTGCCCAGTGCCCTTAGGTTTCCAAAGTTCCTCCAATTCATGTTAGTCCATGATGAATACCAACTTAAAATCAATAAATTCTCCATAAACCCCCAAAATGATTGAGAATTACTATCAAGTACAGCTGATCCATATCTAAAAAAGGTTAATTATGGACTGATTTAATTTTTTTCAAACCTGCATCCTTCATTACATGTCCTCATATTTAACCAATATTGACTGTTTACACAAAAGACGGCGTATTAGTTTCCACACCTTAATAGTGCAGTATTTTAACACATTTAAGAAGACTATGATGAACTACGTAAGTTTTTATTAAGCGTTTCGTTTTACACGATGAATACATTACCACCCAGCTCTAAGAACATACATTTTGAATTTTGATATTGATGACGTTTCCCTTTTTCATAGGTACAAATGTATTCTAGTAGTCGCACATGGTAATAAAAATAAATTCCACGAAGTAGTGTATTGTAGTGCCAGAAAGACATTCGTCCACTTACTAAAACCTGAGTGCATTGAACAGTAGTCAGATCTGTAGAACTATATGGTTATAAAATATGGCTGTCAAAGATGGAGAGCACAAATAGATTTTAGGAAGACAACTATCGATACTGTTGACGTGTTGTGAAACCACCATGATTGTAATATAGAGGTTAAAGGTGGAGTTCTAGGTAAAATAGATGAGTCAATGACTTAGTTGCTAAGACTTACTCGATTGAGGTGGCTAGTATATACCTTGTTCACACCCTACCCTAAAATACAATAGTGACCGAAGTAGACCTAGTCTGCGAAAGACCTACGAAGTATAAGACTCAACTGTATCATCAGTCCGTGTAGACAGGTATACGCCCCAGAGTGAGCCATCCAATGCAGAGGGGAGCAATGTTTTCAGGCTATAGACGGTGTTGTTCAAGGTAGATGACAATGATCCAGATGCATACAGGAATGATCTTCACATTGATGATTATAAGATACTTGATTATTTGCTTCATCTCTTCATCTCTTCGTCCGATGCCTTTCCACAATTTTTCACCAAATCAATAAAAGCATCATCCTACCCTACATTAAGAATATATCAGAAATCACTACAAGATTACTGAGACCACTTGGAATTGGTGTGGCTCATAAACCAACAAATTCCCTCCAAACACTATTATGCAGACCAAAGGATGCAACAACCAAAATAGACAAACTCAATATCATTTACAAAATCAACTGCAATAGCTAACTGTAGTAAACACTACATTGGACAAAGTGGTTGCTCTCTTCGCCTTCGTCCATATGAACACCAATTGGCTATTGAACGTCACATATGACATTTCATTACTCATTTCAATGTAGGTGCATAACAACTATGGACATGAACTCAATTTTGACAATGTAGAAATCTTAGAGGGAGAGTAGAAACACAAAAAATATCAGAGAATTTCTTGAAGCATTCAGATCAGTCAGCCAGCAGTCAATAGATGTATAGACATGAGAGACCCAATCTACCAACCAGTGAGGAAAATGATAGAGGTGAAGTAGAGGAACAGCCAACAGAAAAATCCATACAATCAATGACAAAACAATAGAAGGAAACAACCAGTCACAGACCATGTAGTCAGAACAAGCCACTAAATCACTCACGGAGAGATATTGACAGCTCACTTCATACTGAAGTTAGTGCTGATGATGTCATCTAGAGAGACGAAGAAAGCTTCACGATTCGACAACCCAGGTAGCTCAGAGAGCACAATACAACCAAGAATAACTAGTGTCCTACGATGTAATCTATGATGTTGACTGAACTCTATCGATGTTGAAAGGTAGAAGAAAGCAGGCAAAATATCCGACTTAATTGCCGAAATGAAAAGTCTATTGGTTTATTGGTTATCTTGCAAGACTGGTTGGTGCTAGTCCATCTAAACTATAGACTGAAGAGAATGACATTGGTTACTATCAATGACTGGTAAGTATGTTTTCCCTGGCTCTGTCAGATTTCAGCCGTTTGGTGGAAGAAGTCCTGATAAAGTATTTAACCACAGAGCTGTGTCCTATATTTCAGTATTTAAAACAACATCAATTTCCTCATGATTTCAATAATGTATTACTGAAATTGACTTGTAAAAATAAAATCCAAGTTCAACAATATCCTCTGTCAAACATCTTGTAGTCAGTGATGTCATTCATATGCATAAAACAGAAAAATTGGTTCCTTCAATTCATGAATCAGTTGATTTTAATTATGTCAGCAAATTAGCTGATTTTCTACAAGACTGATGATTAAACATTTGATCCCAGTAGTCGTTGACTATAGGCGCATTGCTTTACGAAAAGTTACTCAGCTGATACCATTGTGGAATGGAACTGAACTCAAGATTAAGAAGAGTCAATACATTTTTATCACAAGGAGTGAAATATGTGAGACTCGAGCTCTGATAATTTGAAATGGAGAGAAAGGTTAATAAATTCTAAACATTTAGTCATTTTCACCATTATCTTCATGAAATTAATTTTCGTATAAACTGGAAAAATGCGAAGTTTTCTTTGAACTAATATTCTTTGTGAACACTTTGTTTATGCTTTATCTGAAGGTAGTATGAACCACGAATTGATACCAGTTAGAGAACTACTGGAAATGCATGAGTGTTGGACAGCTGTTTCCCCTTAGAATGGTACACCTCAAGGAATTGATCACTGAATTTCAACTCAGTAGTTGAATGGTAATGCACTTGCTAAGAAACCTGACCATCCTAGGTCAGATCCTTGGTGGGGTTATGAGTGCACACTTTTTAGGAGTTTCATAGTAGGACAAAACAGTTATCTAGTGCTGCCACTTTTTGTATAGTTCTACAACTGTGTTGTGATGCCTCAGTTTTGTATAAAACATTGTTATTGATCTGAACATTTTAACGTGTCGTTTCCACACCAATTGCAGACAAGGTCATTTCATGTGTATACTTATTCAAGTGTTTTGGATTGATTGTTATCATTTTAAAACGCTGGAAGATGAACTTTCTTTAGTAATAAACTCTCGCATCTGCCAGCTTCGAGCTTCTCTCTATTCTTTCCGGGGCTCCAGTCAGTGGCTCTTGCGTGCTAAGTTAGCTGTCAGCTAAGCGTGCGTATAATATTGTTCTGTATATATAACCATTAGCATTTGAAAGCATTACAAACTGGTATCAGTTTTGAGTTAATACTATTTTGAAATCAATCTACGTAGTTAAACCTCCAGATGGCCAGAAAGAATAAGCAGCAAGCAACTCTGAGAACGAACCAACCAACAACCTATCACCCAACAAATATGCACAAGAAAGTGGAGTTGGATTGAGCATACACTGAGAAGGCCGACTGGGGACATCACGATCCGGGCCAGGCCCTCGAGTAGAACCCATAGGGGAAACGATGAGTTGGGTACCTGAGGATGACATGGAGGAGATCATGTGAGGAAGAAATGAAAGCTTGTGGGCATTCATGGAGCGACGTTGAAAAGACTGCAGAGAACAGAGTGCAATGGAGGCGTGCTACTGAAGCCCTATGTTCCATTAGGAACCCAAGGGGAAAATAATAATAATGAGTCAAACCTCCGAGTAGAATTCAAAGGTTACTATCCACTTGTTGTAGTATATGAATTGCTAGCTTGTTCCAATAATTTTTCTTCTTTGTTCCTTGAACTTCTGAGTAATTTCTTTTTGATTTATAATATACATACTGAAGAACAATAAAAGAAGTTGGTGTAAAGTATTATTACATACAAATGTGAACACATGTGAACTAAAATGGGCTTGCATTCTACCACAGCGCTAAAGATTTTCTTTTATACTAAGAGAAAGAAGAGTTTATGACAGTTTACCTGAGTACATTCCAGTCATTTTACTACACAGAGGTTTGTATGTCGTCAGCAATGCAATTACTCATCTCCCTATTGTTAGTTGACATGAAAGCAGTATCTAGAGATTGTTACATTTCCCTGAAACCATATCCACTTGGCGATTAAAACTGAACTCGTCTATTTAGAAAGAAACAGTTGTCAGTCTGTTCCTACCATGATGAATTTTTGTTTTCGTTTTATTATTATTCCATTATTCACTCTTAGAGTTATCACCCGAATTCTACACACCTTACTTTCGTAACTAGCACCAATCGTCTAACATTTTGTAAGGGCTTTTATGTAACATCCCACAAAATCAGAAAGATATTTGTCAGAAAAAAGGGATCTTTTCCTAACTTCTCACTAAAGTTATACAGTAATATGGTAAGTTAAATATATCAATATTCAGAATTAAATTTGTCTCCACATGTTGTTCAACTTCAGTTCTAGAACACGTATTGGATGTTTTGATATACAGATAGCCGCATATAATTGTATTATGTTGCTTGTATTGTCCCGTCTCTGAGTGAACCGAAACTATCGTTTTCTATTGGCATATGGGCTCCTGAGTGGATGTCTCAGTATTTCTGGTCGTTTGAATTTCGATATTATTGATGAATGGTGACTAGCAGTGGAATCCAGAAAGCACGTTTCATCCCATTTGAGACTCAATCTAAATTTACTAAGGGAAGAAAGTGTATGAAAATCATCTTTGAACTAATTATAGTTTTTTACAATCAAGTATGTTAACTCATTTGGCTTAACAGTCATTACACGTATTTTTTTTATTCAAAAAAGTATAGACATATTAATCTAAAGTGAACACAACTCTAACGAACTGAAAAATAAATTTGATCAATAATCTGTGCACTCATCAATGAATCATTAATCAGTAATACTGAATTAAACTGAGCAGTAATGAGGAATATCAATATTACTATATATTATTTTAAACAAATCAACACCACACATGCATAACTATATTATCCAGATGTGGATAACAGTAAGTCAACCGATGGTATTGAGCATTGAACAGGAGAAGATGAATGTCAATTGAACTTTGAATACACAATATATTCATAAGTAAATCATGTCTTCTAAAACAAACGATTTATATAATGATAATGATAATAACGAGAATACAGATAGTGATTTTCAAAACGATTTGGAGTATGACAGATATTTACCAATGAAATTGGGTTTCATACTTCTCGGAGTATTGATCTTAATATTATTGTTAATCTCGATTTACTTTATCTGTCGTCGATTTAAAAGCCATTCTCGGTTGTTTTATCATAATCCTAATAGTAAAAGTAAAAACAGTGATAATGATGATGATGAATTTATTTGTTTCAATAAACCAGAAAATGTTTTATTAACTAGTTATACACAAATGCATCCACCAGAAAGTCCATTGATAACAATAAAACAACAACCTCAGTTATTAATGAATGATTCATCTGTTAGTGAGAAGACACTCTTCTCAATTGATGATGAGAATGCTGATGACAGCAGTGGAGAAGCAAATGAATATAAACCAACGTTTGGATATTCAATACGTCATCAAATTAATTATGTGAAACCAAGTGTAATACAATCGACTCAACAATTTATTGCTGTAGGTGAAGTGTTTACTGATGATGAAACTATTGAATGTATACATTTAATATAGTATTCATCATGGACTGACATCAGTTGGAGAATCGTTGAAAACTTGGGACAGCTGTTTTGCCCCACTGTGAGACTCATCGACTGCACGCACTTACTGCCCGCCTAGAGATTGAACCCAGAACCTTCAGGTTTCACGGAGAATACATTAACCATTTAGCCACTGGGTCGGAATTCGATGCTCTACAGTTTCCTACTTCTGTCAGTTGGCAATGCAGAACAACTATCATTCAAAGTCTTCAGTTTGCAACCACTTCAGTTCCGATTGCGTGACCCCACAGGTCACGGCTTCTCAATAGATATCCATCTGGAAGAATATTACTTACGAGTATTAAACAGTAATGCATCTTCAGGTTAACCTATTCGCCGTGAGAGCTGAAGGTCCTGAGTTCGACTCCTAGACGGGTTGTGAGCGCATATTACTGAGGAGTCCCATACTAGGAGGAAACAGCTGTCCAGTGGTCCATGGTTTTCAGCGGTTCTTTAATTGATGTCAGTACCTCAAAAAAATCCCCATTTACCTGAGAATGAATATATCTTTATAGTAATGGAATTATTGAGGTCAAAACTGGTTTATCAGTTGTCATAAATGAGATATATTTTGTAGCCTCTTTCTATGACACAGTATGCCAAACACTACATTTCGGATTAAATGTCAATTAGGATACATGATATTTTAAGCCATTAATATCATAAAACATAACCAGTTCCTGAAGTCAATTATAAGTTGAGTTAGATTATGACATTGTTTACATCTGTTGTTATACTTCTGTTTGTGTAAGCTATTTTAGAGTGTGGCAGTTTGAATCAATGAACTCCGATATAACTCATTTTCTTTGGTGGCTTTGATGGTTATCCTAGCAATTGGTGTAATAACCTACCCAGTGTCGGCATTTAGGCTGAGACGGTAGTATATCATAAAATATAGAGGCCTAATTGATTATCTCAGCGGTTGCTAGGGTGGTTTTTAAAGTCACTCCAATTTCCTAGTCATTCACTCGTACAGGTAGTAAGTTGGTCACTTTTAGCGTTATAAGACAATAGTTTCAAGTCAGTGACTTCAAGAAGTTGATCAGTTCGTAATATCCTTCTACTTTAAAAGTGTGGTGTAACTACCAATCTGTTGGTTGTGATTGATTTTTGCAGAATGGATTGTTTGACTAGCTATACTTTAAAGCTACGCATAATGTCTTTGATTTTATGAGCATTCAAACATGTTGTTTTATGATTTGTTGAACAATACGATTAGATCTGGATGTTGCATTGATGATTATTCAAAAAAATCCTGAAAACCTGAAACTATTGAGCAGATGTTTTCATTTTCAGCATTACTCAATATCAGGCATCGGTTACCTCTTTTTAATTTGCAAGCGAGAACTCCCGAGTTTTATACGAGTTCTACACTCACTGGAACCATTAATTGAAGGTAGCCTTAATATGTAATTCATTAGGATTACACTTAGGGGTCATCCTGATCTGTATTTAGAAATTCCAGTGTTGTAGGATGTCAGTTTCAATTTTTGGAAGAGTCACTAATAAACACTAGAGTGTCTTTGAAGAAATGTTTGTTCGAGAGATTGTCGTTTCACGTGAAAATATCCCTTTAATTTTTTGAAATTGTCTATTTGTTAATGTGTAGTAGGAGAACATTTGGGGGGCTAGTAATGCAAGTTTGTCTCTTTCAGTCTCAATTTATCAGAAACATAGTACAGAATATCACTAACTATCATAAAAAGGAAGGATAAGTACATCGAATGATACTACTAATTTCAGTGATAAAAGTTTGGATGAGGCATATTTTTTTTGAAAGGCTATTTCGGTTATTTGTTTTCAACAGTATGGATTTAAGTCAAGTGTTATTCGAAACAGTTAGTCCTTTTTATGAATTTCGATAGAGTAATTAGAAGACAAAGTTTATCTGAACACAGTGTGTGATGTATTTGTGCAATACATGTCAAACAATTTGATCATATATTTACTTGTCAAGTCAGTTTACATTAAACCAAAGGGTGGGAGGACAGATGCGACAATCAACGTAATAGGGGATTAAAATTAATAAAAATGAGAACAAACAAGAAGTAACATAGTTGATCCTAATCTTGATAAGAAAACAAAGTTTACTAAGGGTTAGATGTAGTGTACACGAACAAGTTGGTTTGTACAAACAAAGATGGTTTCAGTTTGTGCATGGTTATGTCTTCCGTAAATCTCAGTGTACGTCCCTGACTGCTTCTATGTAAAGCTTTGAAATCTGTTTGAACAATAACTTTGTGACCTGTCTCTGTGATATGTATAGCTATATATAACGAGCATCGTCTTCCATCAGTGTTTATCAAGGTTTCACACTCCATTTGTTTTTGAAGCCATTTAGGTACATGTCCTCCCACCTTCAACTGCATGGCTTGATTACTTATCCCTATGTATGTACGACCACACATATATGTAAACTGATAAACACAATGAGATGTGATGCAATCACTGGTACAGTGTTTAGGTTTTTGGTGAACCATGTATTTTGTTTTTTCCACAATGATAAGATTTACTATCATTATTTGTCCCTTGGATTCCTAGTGGAACATAGAGCTTCAGTAGTACGTCACCATTTCACGCTCTTCTCTGTAGTCCTTTGTGAACGTGGCTCCACCACTGCCCAGTAGCTTTCATTTCTTCCTCACACGATCTCCTCCATGTCACCCTCGGACACCCAACTCATTGTTTCCTATTTGGGTTCCACTCGAGGGCCTGGCTTGGCCTGGAACGTGATGTCCCCAAATGGTCTTGTCACTGTATGTCCAATCCAATCCATCTCCACTTTCTTGTGCATATTTGTTGGACGATGGGTTGTTGTTTGGTTCGCTGTCAGGCCAGAGTTCTTTGTTTCTTATTCTTTACAATGATAAAATTAACTGCATAATATATTTTCTTAATGTCTGATGTCAGCCTACGTCTCAAAATGATACTATTCAACTCCCCTCTGCATAGTAGAGCGATATGAACGCTTTTCTTAAGAACCGTGTTTAAAGTTGGCTTCGGTGTTACCTGGCTTCTACAACGGTTTATAAACTTCAATGGATATTCATTTCCCATAAGTATGTTGGTCATTAATTTGATATCTTGATCCATCGCATCTGATATACTGCTACGATAGACCCTCCTATACGGCCATTTAACTAGACCTCGCTTGTATTGGATAGGAAAAAAGCTGTGAAAATTTAGGATTTGTCCTGTTCATGTAAGCTTTCTGTGAACTAACCGTCTTACTGAACCATTTTCTTGTCGAATCAGGATTATGTCTAAGAATGGTAGATAATTATTATTCCCTTTCTCATAAGTCAGGCTGATGTGAATTAGTATGATTTTAATCCTTTTTAGTAGGCAAGCCATATCCTCATGCTTCTTGCAGATCACTACGATGTCATCAACATATCTCCTGTAAAGAGAAACTTAAGTGATGAGATCACCAACCATATTTTTGATATATGACGTATAAATATCAGCTAGTAATGGTCCTAAAGGACTATCCATAGCTACATCATCAACTTATCGAAAGTGTTCACCTTCAAATGTGAAGTCGACTTTGTCGGTACACAGCAATAATATTTCTTTCAGTGTTAAAATGACCAGCTGATGTGAAACCATACCTCAATAAGATATGCCTAAATCATGAAAAGCTTTCTGTTTCAATGTCTACCTTTCATAAGTATTTCACTTCAGAATATTTAGCAGACATTAGTCAAAATCAACCGGATAATGATAGTTTATTCTGATCTGTAGTTACGTCAGAAGCACATAAAAGCTGTAATCTGTCCCTAGGGTAATCCTTTCCATAAATCTGGAATTTGAAGGTGACAGTGCAGCTAGAAATCTTAACAATCGTTTCTTGTGATTTCTAATAATGGCGTTCTATACAGTCAATTATAAAATCGCATTCTGTAGTTGGTTTTTAAACCGTCAGCATGTTCACAATAAAAATTCTTTTCTAACCAGTTAACTTATTCCTCTGGAACAGAAGACACTGGCTATAAATAAAGTCAAATTTGCAAGTGTATTTTGTTAGCGAAAGAAGAAACAAATGACCACCAACTGTTTCACTCACAAATAACTCGTCATCTCTGGAAGTTTAACCCCTTACTAGATTTGTTTATTCAATATTTGACGCACAGCGTTATAGTATTACTTACCTGATGACGTTTCCAGCATAAATCATTATCGCTCATAATCATAATGATGTAATTACACAACTTAGGATATCCGATTTTTATAGTCCTATCACCTGATATTCTTCGTTTTTATTGGTAGTAAAGTTTTTCATATCCCTGGTTTAGGTTTTGCGTCATTCCTATCACAAGTATTGGGAGTTGATTGATTCGACGTACAAAGTTTCAGTAATCAATCCATTTCTCGACCTAATTATACTGAACTTCAATACAGTGGTTTTATCCCACCCACCGTATTATGTGGTTGTGTGTTGCATGCACTACAATATCCGAGTGTTTTCCCAGATTATTGACCCCATTCGGGTCTGTCATTCTACATCTGACTAAATTCATCTGTTCTGATAATCTAACTGACACCGACTGGCTAGTTTGATCTATGTACTTGACCTCACAGCCATTGCATGGAATTTGATAGATTGGACTATTTTGATGAATTAGTTTCATCAGATCCTTAAACCAGCCGACAAAGCTTATCTCTGAGTGAGTTTATAGGTAGAAATGCCAACCTAATTCCAGCCTTGTTGAGGATCCTACGAGAAGTTTCTAATGTACCTTTCTTAGAGAGTAACACAATGTGGAGGCTGTGAACTCCCTACTACTAGTGTTTTCGTTGTTCTTCTTACTCGTGTTACTGTTATTTCTTTTCTTACCTGTTTGTGCGAGTTTCTGAATGAACTGTGGAGGATATTTATTAACTATTAGTGCTCCTTCTATGTGTTTCAATTTCTTGTTT